TTTTTCTTGGTCATATGAGGCATCCACCACCCAAGTTGCCGTAACCATCTCCTGAACCAAGCGGTTCCTGTGTTCAGATGCCCAGAGGCAATGCAGGCACTCAGTCAAGCCCATAATAAAATAAAGGGATTTTGCTGAGCACAATGGAGTCTTGGGTAAAATTGGTCTTTAGGGCTCAGGATTTTCACAGGTTGATTCAGTACCTGCCACATTCTCCAGGCACAGATGCTGTAGCACTATATTGAGCATGTTTCAGTCTACCAACCTCTCTCTACTTTTCCTTATTATTGAAATCTCATGGAATTTTTCTTTTAAATTAGTTTCTAGAAACTCCACCTCAAGAGCAAACTGCTTCCATCCCCATCACACTAGTGCAACCTCTTCTCCTCAACAAAGAGTCATTTTGTCTGCATCATTTTGTGAATGTGCATTTGGCTTATGTTGGAAGTCACAAACTGTCACTTGCTGCTGGTTTTGTTTTCTATGAAAAGAGAATATATGTCATTAATTGATTTTCTGCCTATTTTTGTGAGGAATTAAATGAGCTTATAACCACACAGTTGCTTAGCAATGCAGACACAGAACCACAGCACACACATCACTTCTTAGTAAGAAAAAGAGTATTAAGAAAGCAGTGGCAATGACACACAGTTAGGAGTGAAGGCTGATTAGCACTGGTTTAGGGACCAAGCTTGGTGCTAGTTCGCCCATTCATCAACGAAACATTCATCACTGAAAGAACACTGATGTGCAAGCTGTGAGCTTAGGAAGGAACAGTGAGGTTACCAGTAATAATGAGGACACTGAGGTTTAGAGCAATATCTCAGCTATGTTGGTTTCCTGTACCTGATACTTACCTCTTAAGACATCAGTGGGGTAATCCAGTGATACACATTGAGGTGTAAGCTTGTCAAAAGCAACCAGGGAACATGTGAGCTGCTGATATCACATCGTTGAAACCGGCTGACTTCTAAACACTAACCTCTATTACAGCAATTTAAATTACATGACAAATGAGGATTTCAGGATGTGATCATGGCTGTATTTGTGTCTGAGATGATACATGGGTAAGGAAGATTCATCTACCAGTGACTAAAGCTCTACTGGTAATTCATGATCTATGTATCAGATTTATAGCACTGGCACACTGGGTCTTTGTGTGAAAGGGCACTTGTAGGCTAAAGCAGTCTTGTGAAGGTGTGAGAAACATGAAGTCAAGCCCAAGCAGTAAGAGAACAGAATAATGAGCACCACGTTCATTGTCCAAATCACTAGTGAAGGTTTGCACCAGGTACCTGTGGCACTGGCGCTTGCATGTATGCTTAGCACAGGAATAACCAGTTAACTGACTAGAGTGAACAGAAAACGTTGCACAGAAGCAACAGGCTAGAGTGTATCGGGCAGAGAGCAGGAGCACACATTGCTTATTATAATTTGCAGGTTTGCTTCATTTTTGCTGCCTGATCTCCTGCATGAGGCACATTATTCACTTGGTTGCCCTATGTAAAGTAAACTGTGTCTGCATGATGAATTCTCTAAAGGTGTGCAGTTGGGTCAGACTGAGAGAGTCTGGTTCTTTGAAGAGATGGGATAAGAAACACCCTCTGGAGCAGGCAAGTAGGAGAGCAAAGGAATGAGAAAAGTTGGTCCGGTACTTGGTAGGATCACAAAGATGAGAGATTTCTGAAGCCTGCAGAGGGCATGAAGACATTGTGTGGGAGAAGTTTCTATAATTAAAGGGTATTGAGGAATCCAGCTCATTTGGCAGGCACACACAGCTGGCTTTGGCACACAGATGTATGTGGTGCTGAGGGGTACAAGCTTGGAGGAGGGGATGCTGAGCCCTTCACAGCAATCCAGAGACTCAGCACAGATTGCTCTTAAAAAGGTACCCCTGGGGGAGCAGAGCAGAGGCTGTCAGCACAAAGAAGCCGTGAAGTTTAAACCTTGCTTAAAAGCCTCTGCAGTCACCTGAAAAGCCTCAAAGAGTCTCGAGGGAAAGATGGTTTTGGGTTTTCTTTAAACGTCCTCAAGTCCTTAAGGCTATAGCTATACTGGTAGGTAATGCCATGCAGTGAGAACAGACTTGTAGCATGACAAAGATGGACCTGATATCCACACTGTGCATCAGGGGGTGGATGTCTGTCTGCTTTAGCTGAGTAATACCCCTATGGTCCCTCAGCCTGAGCGCTGGCTGGCAACTCTATGGTGTGGAGTGCATGAGGGGCACCCCTGGAGAGCACCTTTGGGTTGAACATCAGCTGAAGTGAAGGCTCATTCCCCTGTGGCTTCTCTCTCCATCACATGAGTCAGTGAAGTGGGGGCCATCCACAGGCTAAAACCCACATTCCCAATGCACATTAACGTTGCCTGATGCAACATGGGCATACAGTGGAAATGTGCTTTCGGGCCTGCCCAAATTGCTTACACCCAACAAGTAGTCCTGAAACCACCAGGACACTGGCCCATCTCTCACCTCACCTGCAGGATGCACCTCCAAAGCACAGTACTAATGCATTGGAAAGGGATAACAATGGTGGAGAAAAGAGGGAAATGAGGAGACAAAGGGTGTGCCTTCCCTTCTCCCCCCTTTTCCTCCAGAAAGCACTGAGATGGGCAGGAGGGAGAGCAGCCCCCACACCTTCCTCTGCTGCAGAAGCTGAACCCCTATTTATCACACACTTGGCGGATGCTCAGACCATCAAAAGCTGGAGGATACCCTGAGGTGAAGCTCTATTGATGTGTATTACTTTGAACCAATGAATATTTCATCAGTGGAGAGAGAGAGGATATAAATCAATAATTCAGGAGTAAGGAAATGGAAGGAATGGGTTCGAACCACTGCTGGAGGATGCATTTCACTTTTTGAAACACTTAAACTCTGTGCGTTATTCAAAGACCATCTTAATTCTATCCACCTACAGTCTTTTCAATACAGTCTTAAAGCCACTATACTCATCAGAGGAACAATCATCCCATCCCTCTAACAAATAACTAACATTTGAAACCTAACAAGGTTTCAAACCACAAACTTCCTTCTGGAGTTCATCTCTGATCCAGCCTCCCTCTAGAGGCAGGGGGAGAGGGAAGAGAGAGAAAACAGGGCTGGGAAACACCAGGAGAGGAAAGAACAATTAAGAGTTCATTGGATGATCACCATCACAAAGAGGGAGGCAATGTAGTTAATGTGCAACAGCAGTGATATTTTCCTCTGATTTCATTTTGAACTAAGCCTTGAAGAAAACAAGGAGATAGAGGATTGAAGAACAAGAGGAGATAAAAGATGACTGATACAGAAAAAATAATGCTAATTTTCCACTGAAGCAAACCAGGTTGCTGCTTCTGAAACATTAAGCCAAGATCTCAGTTTGAAGTTAGAAATATCTGGAATATCGGGAATTCCAAAGGGCTTAGAAGAAACTCATTTTGCCAAACCCATTCCTGATTGCTTGGAAATACTGGTTCAAACTATTTACTGCTCACAAAAATATGTTTTGAAATCGTTGCGACATCTTGTTTCCAAAAGCTTACACTTCAAACCAAAACCTCCTGGTAATGGGGGTTAGAATTCCTTTATCGCACTAAACTTTAGGGCTAGTTTCTAAATGTGTAAAATGTTGATATCAAAGTGAAACGTTTTACCTCACCACTCTACTTTGTTTTTAAGTATGGATTGATGGTCCTTTTCTATGTGACTTGTTTTTGTCCTGTCAAATGGCACAAAATGTTTTTCCCAAACTGCTCTCACCCTTTGTGGTAATCCGCACAAGAACAGCAACATGCTGTGTTACTTGAAGTGGCAGGACACTGGATTGATGCACATTTTCTTCCATGGACAGCACTTAAAATGTTTATCCTGTCCTACAGGGAGAGAACTTCTGTATTATCTTGGTTTTAAAGACAAAATATCACCCATATGTACCACCAGCTTTTGCAATTCCTTTGTGAAACGTGCATTGCTGTAAGTGCTCACTTGTTCTGTAAGAAGCAGAACAAAGGCTGGAACATCTCCTTAGATTTTTCCACAAAAAAAAAAAAAAAAAAAAAAGATGGCCTGAGGTGTATTTATTTTGGTGAGTGCAACAGTACATGCAGAAGTAGGTTAACTTTAAGCTGACAAGGCAGGGTTAGCTATTAAGTAATTAAGTTTGTGAATAAAATTCTGACAAAGAAGGAGCATTTGGATATCCCCCCCAGGGTTTTCACAGGAGACATATTTCTTTTTACAGTGAAAGAAAAGACAAAGATACAAAGTCATCAAATAATTCAATATCTGGCACAGCTGGGATCAAGCTGATGCACTTAGACACTAACATACATCTTCTCCAGTGCTGTATTTTATCGATACCCTATAGAAAACCTGGGGGCTTTTAGCAGGCAACAGGATCAAGCCTACCAGGCAGTACCCTCCACATCCCTCATAGACAAGCCTGAAAGGTTTAGGTGTATGTGGGATTAACACCTGTAGATGATTTTTTTACACAGCTCTACTTCCAAAAACCAAATTGTTAGAGGAGGAATTGATCTTTGGTCATTTTAGGCATCTTTGGTATAGATGTGGGTATAGACCAGGACCCGCATCCAGTCTAGGGCTGATGTGGCCACCTCAGATGGTCACTTCACATCCCTTTATAAGGAACAGAGAGAAAAAGGCACTTTAGGGGTGCAGCATATCCAACCAGTCAGCTGAACCACTGCCCAGAGGGCATTGGCAAGTCCTGCGCACGAGTAACCCACTGTGAGCTCTGATGCTTAGAGGAATCTTGCCCTGTTTGAATGGACTGGCGTTAAATTAAGAGAAGAAAATAAACAAACAGAACTCTTAAGTGCTTTCTGAGGCTTTCCCAGGTGCTCTAGCATCTTGGGCTAACAAGTCATGGTGTGACTGCCCTCAAGACTGGGTTTGCTGGTAAGTCCTGAGGGTCACACATGTCTCTGTGGCTCCTCTGCAGTCATGTGTTTGTTTCTTTTAATGCTCCTTCAGTTAATTTTCTTTGCAGATTCATTCACGGGAGTCATAAACATAATGACTGACATAATTTGGCGCTACACTGGAGATTTCATGGCTCCTGATATCATTTGCAGAGTCGTTCGCTACTTCCAGGTACAGAAACCTCATGCTCCCATGTATGCCCAAGCTTGTGCAGCTTTGTGTAGACATTCTGTTAGCATCAGAAGCACTAAATGCTGAAAGTGTTCATTTAAAGTCAAAACAATTGAATTAAAGCACATTAAATCTTTGTGGACAAGATGAAGGTGAAAATACATTGAGGGCTTTTTTATTGCTCTTTCCTTTTATTTTCACTAAAAGTTTTCAAATATCCCTAGGTCAGTGTTCTTGGTGACATTGTTTTCTGCAATAAATGTGTCTTAGCTGCTGTCTCATATACCTTCTGCCCCAGGTGGTCCTTCTATATGCCTCGACTTATGTCCTCGTGTCACTAAGCATAGACCGGTATCATGCCATAGTTTACCCAATGAAGTTCTTGCAAGGAGGTAGGAGAATTTCTGTACTTTGCTATTGCTACAGATATTATTAGGTAGCTTTTTTGCTTCAGAATTTGTAACCTTTTTGCCATGAATTATTCATTCCTGCTATAGCAACATTTGGACTCAGGTAGTTTTCTAAATGGCAAAGTAGCTGTGGTTTCAAGATTTATTAAGCCCTTCACAGTTTTTTTAAGCGTTGTGTTAGCAAAGAATGAAATGTCATTTTAAAAAGTGTAGAGGTTTTCATTATCTCCCAGAATTTTTAGAAGGTTATTGTGGGCAAAGGCTATCCCTCTTACTAGACCCACTCTAGGAGCTGCAACAGCTATATTGTCTGTTTATTCACATTTAAAAATAGATTGAGAGTGTAGTACTGAGAATTCATGCAGTAGTTTGATAGAACTTCAAAAGCTATAGCATATAAGTCTGGATATCTATTGTTTCTTGGAATGTTTTCTATTTGTTATTTTTACAGCACTCAAATATATGCTGGCAGCTTAGCAGTACAATTTAAAGAACATGATTTCTGTCCCACAAAGCCAAAGTGAGACATTAAGTATGTTGCACTGAGTGAAGAAACAGAAATAACAGGTGGGGAGGAAAGGCAATGCTTATGAGAACCGTGAGGTCTGGAAGAACCACTTTAATCAGATGCAAATATCATTCTTGTTTTGGAGTAATAATGGCTTTTGCCAGCCTGCTCTATTCAGAGGATCAGATTAATGGTCCTTCCTGGCCTTAAAAACCTGTGAATCCATCACAGCTGAGGCAGTGGTGCAGCTTTGGCAGATGTTAAGGCCTGAAAGCTTCACATACTTCTGTGAAATTTAGCCTCTTATTCCCCAGGGTATGGGCTGACTTTTTCAGAAAGGGGAGATGGATATCAAGGTTTTCTTGGTGGCCTTTGGGGGTCATGAAGCATTCTGCAGCTCCTGCTGATGCTGCACCAGGCTGGGGAGGGAGAGCTGTGCAACAAACCCACTGACATCTCTTCTGCATCCATGGAAAAGCAGCTACTGAATTGGCTTAGTAAAGAATTTGGTGGTTAATCTGTGCAAAGCACTTTGAAGTTGGACATAAAACCCCCACCAACCACCTCAATTTTTTAGAAAAACCTTTTTTTAATTCAGTCTCATTCCCTACACCTATACTATATAGATGTTTCCTTTCTTTTTCCCATTTCCTATACCTATACCATAAAGAATTTCTGAAAGATTGGAAAGAGCAGACGTTGCACCCAGCTGAGAGGCAGCAGAGCAGCAGGTCATGAGCAGAGATAACACTGACAAAGCCCACATGGCTCTGGCAATGGCTGGCTACACACTGATGGGACAAGCAAAGACCATGTTCAAAGGGAAAAAAGGAGCAGCTGTAAATCCAAAAGAAGTATCTAGAAGTGTCTAGAGAAGTATATTTACCATAACAACTTCCCTGAACATACATAGCTTTTGCACCCAGCTATTCCTAACAGAGGTGTCAGGGGCTTTTGAAATGCCCTCTTAGCTATTCTGCGTATGGAGAACAAAGACAACTACAAAACCTTGTCGTTGGTGATGACACAGAGAAACCTTAACAACAGTTCTGAGTCAACCTGTAGCTAATTTTGTTCCAAATTGTAAAACTCATCCCTCAAAATGCTTCAACCAAGATACAAAAGAGTTGTTTCTCCTTTCCCATTTTAAAAGTGATGTTTTGATGTAGCCTTGAAATACCATTTTGGGGAAAAAAACAAACTAAACCCCAAAATAAACCAAGCAACTTTTTGCTTTTAAAACATCAAACAATACCCAAGTTGGGGGTTTTTTAGGTGCAATGAGCTATACTTTGCATGACTTGTAAGAAAACAAACTTCAACAGTTCAGTATTTTCTATGTACTTTGTGAACACATAAATGACCACAGAAAGGGCAGATGTGGAAGAATTCTACATTCTAATCCTAAAGGTTCTGCTGTGTGAGGCAGCAGAATAATTCAATAACCAAAGGGGTCACTGAAAAGCAAATAAATAAAGACCAAAAAGAAAAAAACAGAGAAGTTACAGCAGAAGAGATGTTATGAATATTTCACCATGTTGAAAGGTACATGCAAACAGTACACAAACTAAGCAACAACAGAAGTGCTTAAGTAAAAGACAAAACCCAAATAGGTGTAAACTGTCACTTGCCTGGCTTTGAGCTGCAGATGACACTGAAGTCCATCAGATCAATTAGCTTCTAGATGCAAAACTTTCCATTTAAAGAGCAATGTTGTTCTTAAAGGAAAATACTGAAACTGGTTGAATAGAACATTGTATTTCAAAGCTGTAATTTATTTGATTCCATTTATAATCGACACAGCTCTAGTTACATGATTTGGCTGGCATTTAGAGCGTATTAGAGTGTTTACAAGAAAACAACATAAAAAAACCTTTGCTTGCAAGGCAGGCAATTAAGATTAGCCTGATAAAACAAAAAGCTGCTTACCTAGGTGCTACCAGTGCCCTGTTGTCCTGGGTTCAGCACTGATACCACTCTTGCCCAACACAAATTGACCACTTCTCTCTGAATTATTCTACAGTGCAAAAAGAAAGCATATTATCCAAGTATAATCTTTTACCCCTAGAAATACACAGGTGGGCCCCACTGAGGCTTGTATGTATGTAGTTTAAGTAGCTACCTCACAATCAGAAATTCCTTTCTGTCAGGAAATATTTTGTGACAGTCTTAATATTCCTTCTGCTAAGTTTTTGTTCTGCTTTGGGAAACTTTACAGCTCTCCTCTGCCTATGCAATATTTATAGACTTAATCTAACCATCTCACTTACGTAGATGTCATCAGAGTTCCTTTAAGCCCTAGATTAGCAAGATTGTATTTTGTTGAACGTGGGTAGCATTTAAAAATGAGCAAGATAAGTGAATATTTGCAACCGATGTTTTATAAAGCATAAAATTGCTTTTTGAATGTTTCGCCCACATGCTTTCGTATTGCTCTTTGAGCTTCAAGGAGGAAAGACACTTGCCTTGATATGCATAATTTAAAGTGATTTTCTCTTTCACACAAAACTTCGGGTATTTTGTAGGACAATAAAGTATTTCAGCACCAAAGCTTCCCAGATCAAAAAACCTGTCTCCATCTGTGTCTCTCGCAACCTGACTCAGGAGGAATAACCGCTGCTGAAATCACTGGTACCCTACAGATCAGCCCTTTTCCCCCACATTTTTTGGCTACAGCTATCTGGATTTGAGCTGGAAGATGTACATTTGTGAAAATGAAAGCCTCGGGGCTGTCAGCTCCAACTTACTGATTTGTACAAAACCCCCTTGGTGCCACCAGGCATCATTTAGTTTCCCATTAATTTTCCCCATGTGGCAGTGGAGAAGGCCAGAAATCAAGGGGAAGCAGTAGCCCTAACTTACCAAGTGTTTTGGGATCCTTCCTCTCATGTTCTTCACTGTGAGGACCAGCAGGATCTCCTAGTAGGTGTCTGTTGTGGCAGGTAAAACAGGTCTGAGCACTTGAGCACCAGCATCTGCCCTGTCTCATGGTTAGCAGTCCACCCTTAACAAGGCTTAGACATACAACCATCAACAGGAGCTGGGTTTGGTCCCTGCCATGATGCAGAGAACTGCAGGAGATTCACACGCTTGTCAGAGCAAAGTTTCTTTGGGGCAGTAAAGTTGCAGCTGGTTGTGCAGTTTTGTTTCAATCCTGAACTGAAGCATTTTCTCTTTCCTGATAGGTTCTTACTTCACGGTGCACCAAAATGTTTAATTTCCATTCTAAGGAGGACATTTCCCCCATCAGTACATCCAGTATGCTCCAACCTAGTTTATGCTTTAAGTAGTCCTTACTCTGTCATCTGCAGCATAAGGGCTCCTTGTTTTCTATCTCTCTGTCCTACTGAGCTTCACTTTGCTGTGACATGGTAAGAGTGTGCAGTAGGGCAGGCCTTCAGTCCTTAGCATTCATTTGTGATGTCTTGCTGGCACAGAGGAATCATTTACATCTCTTGTTTATGACTTGCTGTCCCTCACAAGTGTCTTCCCATAGCGTTTTCAGATTCAATGGGCCCTGAGCATCTTTAAAGAATACATGTAAAATACAAGCCCGTAACAACATGACTATTTATCATGTGAAAGAGATGAAATCCCCATTCTCCTTTGCAGTCTTTTCAGCACCAGCCCCAAATTCCCTTTCTTCACCCAGTTCCCTCCTCCTTCCTGCCTTTCTATCAGTACTGCTACACAGGGCCTTGCGTGCCCACATTAACACTATCTGTTTGATTCTGTTGCACAGAAAGACAGGCAAAAGTTCTTATTGGAGTGGCCTGGAGCCTCTCTTTCCTGTTTTCCATACCAACTCTGATTATTTTTGGGAAACGGCAGCTCTCCAATGGGGAAGTGCAGTGCTGGGCTCTCTGGCCTGATGACTCCTACTGGATACCCTACATGACAGTGGTGGCTTTCCTGGTGTACTTCATTCCTCTGATCATTATCAGGTAAGCCTGAACCACAGTCAGCAAGCATGCGGTGAAAGTTGTCAAGTGTGCAATCAGCTTAACGCTTTAATTTCTACTCATTCATTACAATTTCATTTCCACACATGCCTTATAGCTGCTTTGGTTTTTATCAGATAATGTACAGGTCACTGTACTTGCTCTGCATATTCTCCATGCAGCATTACTAGCCAGAAACATTATCTCTGAAAGAAAGGACTGAATCTCTAAAGTGTGCTCACTTATCTCCGAGCTTCAGGCATGAAACATATCTTTAAAAACCCAGGATGAATGTCTAGTTATTATGACAAAATATAATTTTAATAAAAGAACAGGAAAACCACACTCAATGCTAATTAAATTAAAATTAACTGTAAGTGCTCTCAAGCTTCCTAGTACTAGGAGAGTGTTTCTTCACCAGGATGGGAAAGAAATCTCCAAGCGTCTGAAGCTGCCAACAACTCCTAATATACAGGCAAATAAAATCCTTCCCGTTCTGGAATGGGAAATCTTGGCTGCAAATATTGGAGACTGGTTTGCCCAAAATCACAAAGATGATCTGCAGCAGAATTAGTTTTAAACTGAGGTCAGCCAATATCCCAGTCTGTGCTTAGTGATCAGGGAATTTGATTGCCTCCCTCTGGGGTACTGCCATTAGCTGCTGTTAAACAAAAATTATCTAGACATGAGGAGCTACCAATACAAAAGGAGCAGTCGAAAACAGATGTGGAAGGGGAGTGAGGCTTCTTAACTGGCTTGAACGGCTGCCAGTGGCAGTAACTTGTTCTCTGAGCCTTTTCCTTCCTTTCCCTTTTATTCTCTTTCAGTAGCAAGGTTACAGCAGGAGTGCTTGGTGTTCATTTCTTCTTAGTGGCAAAGACTTGCTGAGACTCCCCCTTTTCCCCATAATATGGTGACATGCTGTTAAGGCTGTGAGAATGGAGCTGTGTTTGCATATCCCTTGGATATCTTTCTTGTTCCATCTGCTTTTCCAGCAGGTGATGAGCCATGAGTCTTTCATCTGAGTTAGCACACCAAGTAAGAGTGGGTGGGGGCTTATCTTTTCTAGGACAAGGCTACATAAGCTAAATAGTAAAGGCCATATTGCAGTTTTTACTCCTATCAGTTCAGTTGTGCATTGAAGTTTCTTCCTGTTTAATCACAGATATTAGGCTCTGCAGCTCCTAATGAAGCATGTGGTGCTTGAACTCATCTAGCTGACAGGTTGGACAGGGCTTGGAGCAACCTTGTCTAGTGGAAGGTGTCCATGCCCATGGCAGGGGGTTGGAACTGAATGACCTTTAAGATCTCTTCCAACCCAAAGCAGTCTGAGATTCTATGACTTTCTGATACAGATTCAACACTGAGCAGTGTTGCTGCTTAGAGAGAAGGGACAATCTTTATACTTTGCTTATAAGACATCAATTTCCTAACTTTCTGTTTCTTTGTGTGTGTCAGAATGCACACATATAACAAGCAAAATAATGAAAAATTCTCCTTAAAGAAAGGACATTATAGCAATAGGGAAAAACTAGTCCCAGGTTGCCCAATTGCTCCTCTTTCCTAGACAGGATCACTTCTCTTTGTATATTCTCCTATCTTTTAAAACCAGCCTAGTTTTAAATAAAGCAAGAAATATTCTTGGGAACATGTAAATAAAACTGTGGGTGGATCTGCAGCCCAGCACTAGCAGCAAACAGAATGAACACACAGAGAAGAGACAAAAAGTAACTTAACTGTGAAAAGAAATAGAACAGAAAACTTTGAGGCTTGCTGCTTCTATGACAGGAGTTTTGTCATGAGTTTTCTCAAGTAGCTAGTAATCAGGATATTCTAGGCAGCATTTTAAGTGTTTTAGGAAAAAGACCCATAGCCTGTCCAGTTATCACAGAATCATAGAATATTTTGGGGTTGGAAGGGACCTTCAAAAGTTGTCTAGTCCAACCCCTCTGCAATGAGCAAGGACATCTTCAACTAGATCATGTCCCCCATGTGTGTGAAGCAGCTCTTTCGCACTCAAACTTAAAGATGCACATGCTTCCTATTTCAGAACAGCCACTCTTTTTTACATGGCATATATACTTGTTTGGTCAGAAAAAGCAAGCTACATAACAACACATCTTTTAGAGCTGCTGCCATTATGCTCCCCTCCCTCCCTGCCAAAGGAAGATATTCAGACTTGATCAGCTCTGTGACTTGCTTTACAGTAAATCCCCAGAAGCAAGAAGGCAATGAAGAAATGAGAAAGGCATGAAACCAGCATCTCATGAGATTGCCCTGACAGCTGAGACATGAATAAAGCATCCTAAATTTTTTTATAGCTTTAACCTTAAGCAACTTTCACCAGAGAAGTTTATGGCGGGGCAGGAATTTGTAACATTGGCCTTGGAGCCACAGGGCAGAGCAGTGCCCATTGCCCACTCAAACACATTGCTGGTTTCAGCATACACTGAGACAAATGCTCTTATGCTCTTGCTGGCAGAGATCAGACTTTTGACAGGTAATGTATGTATAAAAGGTAGGTAATGTATGTATAAAAGGTAGGTAATATATATATAAAAGGAAATCTATAAACAAAACTGCAACAGCCCTGAAAGATGTAAATACTCAGGATATCTGTTCCCACCACTCCTTCACAACTGGAGAATCAGCAGTTACCAAACAGCCTGTGGTTCTGTGGTGAGTTATCTGATTATAATACAAACAAACAAGACCTGAATAATGGAAAGAGAATGAAAAGCTGTGATTGGATTTTTAACCCTAGCATGTGGTTATCTTTGAGAGCTGAGAAAAGAGGAGAATATTTGTTCTTTTTGTGTAAACACTGCCCTCCTCCCCACTCAGTGGCACCCAGGAAGAGCCACAGATCCTGCATCAGGTTCTTCTTCACGATGCTTAATTTACCCTGTTCTTCCCTTTTATTTAGACTAATCCAACACTATTTCTACAGCTGATATTGTCAACTTATCAAAACCCAGAAAATTCAGAAAAATTAACTGGGTACCTGCAGTAATTGTTTCTCTTTTATTCTGGGACAAGTGTCATCAGCTACAACCAAGATCATTTCTCCTATGCTAAGATACGCCAAGCAAAGCTCAAATGGTATCTGTGATAGTTGAATACCTCCAGAGCATTGCTGAATAGAGGTTAAATACAGGCCAAATCACGATTACAGACTGCTCTCCTGCCAATACATGCACTTGGCCCCCTCAGGTCTTGTGACAGGGACACAGGAGAGCTAGTGGGTTTCTGTTCTGTATCACTACTGTGTGCCAAACCAAAATTATATGCTGGCACTTGCGTATCCAGAAATTCAGAGTCTTTTTAGCTGTTATTCACAACTATCAAACATATTTTTTATATTTTAACCTGATAAATGTAACACATAGGCACTTATCTAATATAATTCCAAATTTATGTAGAAAAAAAAAAAAAAAAGAATTGCAGAAGTTCTCTTGAATCACAGAATATCCATCTGCTGTTTAAAATCAAAACTCCAAAGAGAACATTTGCTTTGGAGCAGTAGAAAAATAATTAGATGAGAAAAACCAGAATCAGCTCAAAGGAAAAATATGGAACTAAACCCAGGACATTGCAGTGAAATAAAAAATAGATTTAATAGAAGGTATTTGTCTGAATTCAATCAAATAAAAGGAATAAAAATACTATTAGTAAAAATGCCAAAGGTAATTTTTTGAACTTGATTAAGTGAGCATGATCATTTTTGCCCGCAATTTCCATTTCTAAATAGAAAAACTTAGATCTTGCACATATGTTCTAATATCTGCCCATCTATTCACTTAGCCATTACACATGCTTACAATGGTTTCTTTAGATGAAGTTAAATATGCCTTTTGTCTTTGGATAAATAGTACTGCAAATTAGCTACCATAAAATAACACAGATGCATCACTTTGCACAAATAAAGTACAAGGAACAATAGGCAATACTGGATGATAAATACAAGCCATTAGCAGGGGGCTTAAGTGCACTTTTTGCCATGGTAAAGCTCATTTTACTAGCAAATACTAAGGCTGGGTGGGACAATATCATAATGCAATCCTTTATTTAAAAATAAATTAAAATCCATTTTTAAAGAATGGGCAGACAACTCATATGATTGTTAATATCAATACATAGCTTTTCCAGGAGACATTGTATTTTCCAAACTTAAAACGATCTATGAATTACAAATGAAGATGGAGTGGGACTATTCATGTTAACATTTGTATGACTAACCATAAGTCAGTTATTTACATGCATAAAGAATGCTGTAATTACCAATGGAGCCATATTAAAAAACATCATTAACTAATAATATGGTACAAGGAACATGCATCTTAGTCCTTCAGAATTTGGATCAAGCTACAAAGCTCAATTGTTTTAGAGATGCAAAGAATTTCATTTGCTGAGATTCATCCATAGTCAGAACCATATTCCTGTGTTTTCCTGCCGCCACCTCTCCAGATCTGCATTTATCAGGGCTAGAAAAATCCCTGCATTTTTAGATCAACAGCATGTCCTTTCTATCCTGTGGTCTTCAAAGCCTGAGCAGCTCCTTCTCAAAAGGGCTTGGGTTATCTTTTCATCCAGGTTTGACTACTACACTTAGGCTTGCTCTTTCCCTTCATTAATTTCTTGCCTGCAGATAAGGGGCCACAACAACTCATATAGTATTTCGATATCATAGTATGCATTAAAATAATTACAGCATGTGTTTATATAGCCCTAGAAATCCTCTATTCACTTACAGACACAAAGAAACCTGACAACATCTGGACCTAACAAACTGTACATCCAATCTCCCTGTGCTTTCAGCGGAGACAAGAGCATACAGAACACAAGCATGTTACATGTATTGGGAAATGAGGTTTGTGGCAATGTGTATGCTGTGCTTTTACATCTTGGCAGTGGAGGCCAAGCAGCTTGATACTGAAAGGAAGGAAACAAGCATTATGATATGGTCAGAATGGTGCAGACCACTGTCAAACACCCTCCTGTCCAACTGAATACCAGTTGTCATCTGTCCCCGCTACTCCTTGCTCATCTGCCACTTCATTTTCCATCAAGTGGGAATTTCTTCCCACCTTCTGAGATGTCACAAACCACCATGTCCTCCTCCAGCTGCCTTTTATAGAAAGAAAGAAGCTATAAATGCATTCTGTAAAAAACCATAACTGCTTTTCCCTTGTGAGAAAAACACAACTTCTGTTCCATAAGTGCTCAGTGCTCTCTTTTTATTGTTGTGGCTTTGAAAGACACACACAGATGCCTTTTATGATCTTAAGCTTTGGGTGGTGTATTTATGGAAACTCCAGTTTCTTAGCTCCGTGCCAGCATAGCTAGGTTAAAGAAGAAAAGAAGATTAGGCACTAATAAGATCTGGAGTCAGAGAGATCAAAGCATAAGGCATAATTGCAGCTGGCAAAACAGTCCCTGGCAAATGTTCCTAGGATGACAAGTGGCTCGTCTTTCCTGACACCCACCCTGAGCAGCTTTATACCACCTCTGGTCCCCTCCTGATAAGGAAAGATGGATCCCAGCTATAGAGAATAGAAAGATGAACAGAGGCAAAAGCACCACTAGAAATCTGCTATGTTGGCAGCACTTTAGAAGCTACTGGATTAAACCAGGAATTAAACTTTCCCCAGACTTATAAAAATGAAGGATTTAAATGAAACAGCATGTAAGCTCATATGTGAAATGCCAACTGAAGAAGACAGCCACTATAACTGCATCTGGTGAAAGGGGTGCTCCTATCAGACTTTGCAGCCAAGGAGAGAGGATTCTTGGAGCTGGAGGGAAAGAAAGTGTGGAGCCTGACTTCATAACTCAGTCCTTGTGGCACTTGGCTGGAAATAGAGAGTCTGACCGTTTTGACTATGAGTTAAGCTCCTTTGTCCTGATGCTTAGGTGACTCTGAATGTGTTCTACTGGGCACATGTACGCCTGCAAATAAAAAGGTCAGGCTAGAGGCAGCAGGCTAGGGAGAAAATAGAAACAGGACTTCAAGAAGCTGGCTGGATATTTCTGGAGCTGACAACACTTATTGTTATAATGCATTCTACTTCATTGGGGCAGTCAAAAGAGAAACAATACGTGACTTTTTCACCACTGTCGGTACAAAGCGCAACGGACACTCAAGTGCACTAGCTGATAAATAAACAGGCTCTTGAAAAGACAGGAGATAAAAGGAGAATGTTCAAGTCAGCCGGGAGCCATGCTGGACCTTTGAAGGGGTAAGGAGGGCAAGCTGGAGGCTGCAGCAGATGCATACAAAACCCTCAAAGGGCAAGTACACTACTGCTCTGCTGCACAGCCCACACTGCATGTTGTATTTCCAGCTCTCACCTACTGAGACTGGAAACCAGATGGCTCAAACTTATGCAGAAGGGAAACCTCCAAGGCACACAAATACTGTCTTTGCAAGTGTGTCTATTAGTTGAGGATGCTGTAAGAAAAACTCCTATATCAGTGTGAAAGCTCTAATAAGAATGTCTCTTCTGATAACAAAAATAAACCACATGACAGTAAGACACATTTTTGTCTCTATAAAACACCCTGAAGTAATCTCTCTAGTTGCACCTTTTTCACAGAGTCATCACTAAGGTTTATGGCAATTAATAGTCAGGCTGCCCCAGGCCCCCCAGAACGCTTAAGTGTATTGCAAACAGCACACGAGGACGATTTCTGTTGTGATGCTTCGTTTTCACATCAGGAAAACATGGCAGCCTGAGTGCATTAATTGAAATATCCTGAAATTATTTTTGTCTTCCTTAGCAAACTAAAAAGGAAAACACCAGTCAAAAAGATGCTGTTGCTTAGTGATTTTAGCTGCACATTATATATGCTGGAAGAAGAAAAGGCCTCCTATTTTCTTTAATGTAAAATGCTGAAAAGGTAACCTCCTCATCCTAACCTCCTCATCCAGGACATGGGTTCAAACAGCTCCTCAGCTTGAAATAATTATTTTTACCAATTCTATATTAAATAAATTGAATTCCATGTTTGCTATTGCCTAGGGAAAGGTTGTAACTATCCAAGGTCATTGTGGACTAGGGAACTTTTCATCTTTCCTATTAAGAGTGTATGTATATTCCCTTCTAAAAATGGGAATTGTGATGGACCTGGTTTGGAATCATCTAACTCTTCCCAGCTACCTGATACTTCTGTCCTTGATTTCCACCCCAGGACCTTGGGGCCCAAAAGCGAGCACCAAGGTACTCTACCGCATTTCTCATGGATCTTGCCCCTGTCAAATTCCCCAGGGTACCATTTCATTTGTCAGCTTCCTACTCACAAAGTAACAGCAAAACAGAAGTGTACAAACATCAAAATCTGGTCTTTCCTCTTGCTTTCCCTTTTTCAGAGCTAGTGTCCTAGGGCTGGTACGCAGGCAGATTTGGCTTCAGCTAGCTCAAAATCCCCAGTGACCTCTTGCTTGTGAGATCTTGGTCAAATTACTGCATTCTTCTGAGCCTCAAATTTGACATCTACAATGTCAGGACAATAATAACAATTTCCATCCTGAAAACTCTTCAGACCTGCTATGCAGTCCCATCACCTCCATGAGATCTTTACACAAAGATAACTGTATTCATAGAGCACAAATGACTGGGGTGTCAGTTAAATTTACTGTGGCTCATAATACCAATGACTCTTTCTCTTCTGTAGTGTCATATACTCAATCGTGATTCGAACCATCTGGATGAAGAGCAAAGCTCAGGCTGTCATTATATCAACCTGCCCTGGTGAGTCTCAGCACACATGCGTGTCCAGCCTTGTGATCCAAATATGGCAAGTCTCCCCAAATCTGAGAATTCCTGGACATGGAGTGTTGCATTGGGTCCCCATCACTGCAGTGGAAATGGGGTTTATACAATGGCTCCTCCATAACTCTTTTCTGCATTATTTACCTTCTTTGACACTAAATCCCCTTTAGCGAAACAAAAGAAAACATCTGTGAGAAAATAATAAAAAGGCAAAAAATCCTTATTCTAGAGCTAGAATCCTTATTCCTAGAACTTTGGCCATTTCCATAATATTTTTTTCCTAGAATATACTTACACCCACAGTTAGCTGTGTTTTCACATGCCCTTGCAAGTCTGGATTTTGGGCAAGATCAGAAATTCCTGGGTACAGAAAGCTGTTTCACTAGCTGAGCTGCTCTTTTCCCAGGTGGCAAAACCTCTGCTGGCTGCACCAGTCGTGGGTTCATATCCAAGGCGAAGGTGAAAGCGATCAAATACAGCATTGTAATTATCCTTGGTAAGTGAAAAGCCCCCACAGCTGGTAGTGAGGGATGATGTTGACATTTGGAAGCTGGTTTTCCTCAGCTCCTTCCATCATCAGCACATAATGTGCAGTAGATGGCTCAGAGGACTTTTACCTTGACCCCCTCTTGCCTTCTGACCTTGTCCTTCCCCTCTCCTCTGGCTGATAAGATCCTGTTTTAGGCATCTGACGTAAGCCTCAAATGAGGTTATGAGCATAACATTTCGCATGTATAAAGAAAGTAAAGGAGGGATATTGCCTAAAAGGAACAAAGGAAGGGGTCATGTCCTTCCCATTCAGACTGCCAAAATACTTGGTGACTGAGTTGTCTTTTAGGCTTAGAGACTGTGTATGGTAGTTAGGTGCTGTGGTGGTGCAAGGGACAGGAAGGAGAGGAAAGGGGTGCGTTGCCTGCTGAGGTGGAAAGGATGAGCTCTCCTTTCCTGACTGGGCAACAGATGACTCAGTGCAGGAGTCCTCCGTCTCCCAGGGAGATGACATTATTCTGATGGAATTAGGAGGCTGACATTCTATCTGGATAAATAAAGGCAGCATCACACAGGGCTTGTGATTAGCTGCCAGAAACAGGCAGGAAGGCAACCGAAGCTATTTATTCCTGAGGGCTGACAGCCATCCCCTACCACTGAAAAAGAGATCACTCCTCTTTCCGAGGACACACAAAATTCAGATTGGATGATATTGTGGTAATAGTTACTGCTAAGGTGCTTAGCTCACTGTTCAGTGAGACAGGGGAGAGACCAGCCTGACTCATGCTGTTCAGAAGCCCAAGAACAACTTCTCTGTGTCCGGGCTTTTCTGCATGGCAATCAGAGAAAGGTTTGGACAGAAACAAATACAACTGCAATGCCACCAGATGTGGCATCCACTGACCTGGATGCTCAGTATTTCAAAGGACTTTGGTGATATTAGGCACCCACCACCTCTTGATGTGAAAACAGACCTAGGCACCTAACACTCATGGATTTCTTTAAAACCACTCCAAGTTCTGCATAGTCAGTGCTATGATCCCTGCACTGACACTGTGTATTGCAACTCTGCTGGTATCTGCTCATAGATGCTGCCAGTTTGCTTACTCTAGAGACCAGGAGAGGGGCTTACCTCTTCCTTGCACATTCAGTGAGTGCTCAGCTAACTGCCAAGGCAAAAAAGCAGGGTCACTCTGCTGTCCCATTTGGACGTCTGACTTCACAGATACCTGTACATCTGCAAACCAGGTACTTTGACCTTAGTTGACTGCACTGTCTGTCCCAGCTTTTCTGTGTAAATCTTGAGGGAAAAGCCTTTATGAAAGGAGATCACATAGAAATTTGTGAGGGACAGATTCATTCCCTATTCCTGCAAATAAAGCTAGATCTGTCGTCTTTTTATTTCTGCCACTGCCAAATGACACGTTGGTCTGCCATAATGTGGTGTGAAAGGGTGTCATTCCTTGCTCCTGGAAGTCTAAGAGGCTCTGTTTTAATAGGTGGCTGTGACAGCAGTGCTGTCACGGAGAGGCATTTTGGTGGTGTGTACATTTAGATTCGCTGCTCACTCAGGGGACCATTAAAAGAGCACTTCACTATAACTGATGATGTTTTAACTGGCTACCTATTTACCCTTTATGTGTTGTGTAGTGTTCAAAAGTGTCAGGATATGTCTAGAGGGAGCACTCTAAACACTTAGAGGAGCACACGTAATATATTTTATGGGCATTAAAATAAAAATAAAGACAAATAAAGGCACAATCTAATAACTATTCTCTTAAATAAGACCCTGAGTAAGGAGAGATGACTTTTTTTTTGCATGAACAAATATTTGTGCGTTATGGCAGTCTCTCTATGCGTGTGTGATTACCTCTCTAAATAGCTGAACTATCTAATGTCAAGCTGTTCCTCTCTCTGTCTGTCTTGCAGCATTTGTTCTCTGTTGGAGCCCTTACTTTCTTTTTGATATCCTGGACAACTTCAAGATACTCCCTGAGACCAAAGAGCGCTTCTACGCATCCGTGATCATCCAGAACCTGCCAGCCTTGAACAGTGCCATCAACCCCCTCATCTACTGCCTCTTCAGCAACCGTCTCTGCCCCCCTTTTGAGTAATGCTCCTTTAATGTCACTCTGACTTTCCTCTAAGAAGGGAGGGAAAACATAAACACAGTGCATACAACTATTTTTGCCTGGTTTAACCCTAACCATTCCTTGTTTTCTTTAGGGAAAGAAGAACTCGAAGGCTGGGTGGAACTTCCAGGGATAGGAGTGATGGAGGGCAGGAGATGCAGGTCCTGTCCAAACCAGAATACATCTAACACAGATGATGCCCTGCAAAGCCACACTGGGACCTGTACCGAGGAAAGCAGAATTCCCCCTTGAGCCGCTTGCATCAGAGATGGACATTGAGTGACAAGAGCTTGCACTGTGCTGCTGTTGATCAGCACACATATTTGGGATCACCAATTCAGCTTCATCAATTGCATGCTGCCAGTGCCAAACTCAGTGCGAGGGGTTTGCATGCCAACATTGCGAGGGTTCATCTTTGCCCTCTGTTTTTAAGTAAGCTGTAATATATATACACATATATATATATACACACTCCAAATTGCGAAAAACAAAACAAAACAAAACATGTAAATGGTGTCTACTCAGAGTCTTCTCTATTTTTCAAGAGTCACTAAAAGCCATTTATACTACCATCTGCTTCATATAAAGAGTACTCACAACTAATTACAGAGCAGGGACCCTGCTTAAAATGGAAACGTGGGCATTAAACAACAAGAAGACACCACCATCATTCTATGTAATTAGAGTGGTCTTTTGGGGACCTTACAGGGGAGCTCCTACATGGGGCACTTTGCCAGCACAGATCAATCTCTCCATCCACATAGCAGCACTTCCCTGACTCTTGCCCTGTGGAAATCATCCATGTTGCTTAAATTACGCAGGGAACTACACACATCTTTATAAAATCTCAGAGGTAGAAGAAGACCTGAGTGAAACCATAAAACCCAAATTACATTTAAGAAAAATTGTCTGTTTATGGCCCAGTCTTAAGAACTCATTGTAGGGGTCCATAAAGCATGGGCAGTCAGGCAGAGCTCCCCTGCATGGCACCAAAGCAGTCGGGCATCCCTTTCCCTCAGCCCTTGGGGTATTCTCCCATCCCACTGTTCTTAAGTGTAAGGAGAAACGTGCTCACCCAGGTTCAGTGGATGAGTGGGTGATATTGACCTCAGTGCTCATTATACTGTAAGGCAGCTTAAAGTGCTTGTACGATAATACACTGTAACCAGCTGTATGGCAAGTATGTTTGTTTCCAAAAATATTGTTTATTACTTAAGTGGAGTCATATTAAATGGTTTTTTTTTATTATGATGATTCTTTGCAGTGAGTTTGTTCTCTGCAAAATAAGAACTGAATAAAAATTATTTATAATTACCTAGATTACAGAGATATCTTTTCCTAAGTAGGAGATACATAAAACCATGGTGCTTTATGTTCTCTATAAAACAAATAAGGTATCTCTTTTTATTACCTGAAGTTTTGTTACGCTTAAATTTTGGTGGCTGCTTAATTAAAACCATGAATCTGCATCAGCTTTTACAGCAGCCACCTTGGATAGACTGTATATAAGAACTAGACAACACTACCATGTGGGTATGTTTTAACTTTCCCCAAAGTAGGCTGCTCAGTTTAAGCCTCATGGTGACATAGATTTTGGTTGTTAACTTTTTCATCTGACACATATACGACAGATAACCAGTTTTGAACAATTAATGAAATTTGTAGCCTTACTACCTGGAAATGAGATAACATTTCAGAGCAGTACTTTGATTTGCAAATTTAACATGACTCAATCCCATTAAAATTTACATATTCTTCATTGGGGTCATGACATGAATTATGTCATCTAAATTAAACATATACATGAGTAAGTGTAAGACTCCAGCCTTAAATGAAGTCATTATCCATTTATTTGCAAAGAAACAGTCTTCTCATGTCTTCTCAGTCTTCTCATGTCATTCATTATCTTACTATGTACCATTTACATGTTGCTCATATCCTTTTTCCTCTGGATGTGACTGTGGTGGCCTTCCTCATATGAGGATTTTTCAGTATAAATGGCCTCACACCACTTTCACCTGTATCCCTTACAAATACTTAAACACAGAAATGATTTCTCATCTTCTATCCTGCTTTCTTCCTGTGCAGGAGATAGCATTTTATTATCTTTTCATACTCCCTAAAACTTTTCTTGTAAAGAAACAGAAAAAAGCTGAGTTTTTCCATCTCCCATGAGAGAGCTTTAGGGAATTTCATCTAACTCCAGTAGGTTTCTCATTCCTTTTCTGCATCTGCAACTTGCTCTACATCTGTTAGCTGTTGCTTAAAGGTGACAGAGTTGGTACAAAAAGAGCCCACACCTACAAAGAGATTCTGAATGCAACATGAAGAGGGTACCCAGCTTTTTCTTTCATGACAGCCCATGAAGAACTGTTTTTCATCAGCTTTAACACTTTGAGATGCAACCATGAGATACTTCTGACATTCCCAAAGCAGCCAGAAATATTTGTATGCATTACTATTGGGACATAAAATCCTCTATGATAATAAAGTCCTGTCTGATTATAGAATCCCAGAAAGCATGAATCAGAATCTCATCCTTCAGAGAAGTCACATCAAACAGCATAGGACTAAGATACTTTTCAAAATTACACATTAATTCAAGGGAATAGAAAATGTGCACTTTCTGTGACAGTTTCAAATAAAGCCTGAATGAGAAAGCTGTTTAACTTGCTCTTGGACATTTTTTGATGTAATTTAAAGTTCAATTCTCTTAGTCCAGATTTCCATCTGTTGCTAGCACTGTTTTCTCTTTCATCTTGGATTTGCCTTTGAAATTTCTGTCTCCTTTTTTATTTTTACTTTGAAAAAAACTAATGCAAGACAGCAAAAATTAAGCATCCAAATCTCTGGGCAGGTATACTCTAATAATGCAGTGGAATTATTCCACATTGCAACCATGGAAGAATAGCAAAACAAAAGCATTTTGCATCCTCCTGCATGCTGCTGACCAAGCATTTAGAGGTTCAGACCTCTAAATTATCTGATAAATAATAATAAATGTAATAATGATAACATAATAATATAATAGTTATCATTCTTATTATATTATTATCAGTCAAAACAAAAGGAAGACACTGCCTGGTTGTTTATAGGTTTGGAGGGGGTTTTTTGGAAGATATCTTTCATGGGAAAATAATTAGACCTTTAGATATGATGCAGGATGATTTGACTTCACACACCTCTAAGACTTCATTCATGAAGGCCCATACTTTACAAGTTACCTAGACATCTAAATATGAATAGTTTTAGTTGGAATCAGGCACATAAATGTCATTACAGAAGCGGACTTAACACAATAGGTTTTTAGAGTATTGGCTATTGCAAGTTATCAGACCCTTACTGATAGCAGTCTCTAAGAAGGACACGTAAGCAGAAGAAGGAAAACTAAGTCCAGTGCTTTTCTAGATCAAGGCCTGGGATTTGAATACCAGAAAGATTTATATCTATTCAAATTTCATATTTTCTTGACACTGCAAGGTGTAGGAAATGGGAAAAAAATCCTCTCTCAAACCACAGATCTCTATGTAAAACATAGGAACAGATGACTCAACTGGAAAGAACTTTTTCAAAGTGACTTTGGAAGAGAATTTCTCAAGATATGAATGCTTTGGGGTAACTCTGACCTGCAATAACTAGGAATAGTCTCTTGGCACTCTCTTTACAAGGAATACACTTGCCAGCAAGTTGCCTAGTTCTGTGTCCCTACAGAAAGTTCTACCTCGTGCTTGTGCTGATTTGTTTCAGACAAGAACCCAGAAGGCATCACTCTACCTGTCACTTCACCTTACCCCTAGCAATGGCTGCATGTACTCTTCAGAAACACTTATGGAAACAGAACAAATACAAGAGGAAGAAATTGCAGAAAGCACATCAAAAAGTATATATATGCTATGGGCACAAGTGCCTTCTTTCAAGAGAGGAATGATTCCACAGATAAAAATAAACCACTGCAGAAGCTTTCTGTCTTTACCTTCCAACCCAAAGCCTGGTGCTTACAGAAGCAGAGATTTAATTCATCAGCCTTGGGAAACATGATTGATTTGGGGAGTAAATGCAATTTTTAGTGTAAGGTAAAGTATGTTTCATATTCTTTGGTAAACTGTAATTTATTTTACACAGCGTTCAATTTCGGTAAGCATTATAGCTGAATGGCTCATTGGATAATCTTTTGTCGTGTTTGATGGCATCTTATTCTAAGTACGCATAAAATATGGGCATAGAGGGTTAGGCATACAAGCACAGGCATGACTTTACCAATAGACTTCGCCGATTACTCTGGCTGGGTTGGTTATAGTGGTACCTAATTAGAAGCTTACCTGTTAGTTTAGACTCAAGCAAGCCAAATGAAAACAGGCGAAAATTAAGCAGCTTCAATAAATGCAGCAAAAATGAAGAGAGTCTGAGGCATCACATAGAAAAAAAATGACATGATCTTGAGAACCCAAACAGCAGAAATGAGGTGAAATGCACCACGCTGGGTGCTAATAATCAATTGCAGCAAGTATGAGAAATCCTGCTATACACTGGGAGCTCATCAGCTGGAAATATCTGAACAGAAGAAAGCCTTGAGTATGTTCATTGGCCAGATGATGCCTTCTTGCTGACGACAATGAGGCCAGGAGGGTCAGGGGGCTAATATGATCCCAACATGGACATGGTGGTGCATTTGTCAGAAGAGCTATGGCTGAGCTAGTGTCACTGTTGCCCTCTGTTGAGACCACTTTGTGCAAAGCAAGAGATAGAAAGATCATGGTAAAAAACAGCCTGAGATTTTGGCATGTTGGGGCTGATAAAATGGAAAGCTGAAAAATGGTATTTCTGCTGCCTTTTAATACAAGGGTGTCAATAGGAAAAGGAGGGACAGAACTACTTAAAACACACAATAAATCTGCAACAAACCTTGGAATATTCTCACCATGAATAAATGCAGCAGACACAATAATCAGCCTGCCCAGACCTTACTGCATTGTTCAGAAACAAACTTTCTGGTTATAAAAGAGTCCTCTAGGCTTGTGCTCTGGCTGCTTATTGAGATCTAAATGTAAGACAAGGCAAGACTTTCTGTGCAAGTTTTTCAGGGGACCAAGAGCCAGTTCCTTTCATTTTGAATCATGTTGATGGCCATGCCTTTTGCAATGGTGCAATGAGAAGGGGAATATTTATTTGGAGAGGTAATATCTTCTTATATCAAGCTGATGGAGCTTGATATAAGTGAATGAACTTGTAGGCATGAACATGCTATCCCCATCCCTGCCCTACCAACTCACATCACAGGTTTCAGAAGAGTACAAGGCATCATCTGCCCCTTTTGCTTGTGTTCAGGCTTTCAGGTTGAAATACTGGCAATAGCGGAATTATACAAGGATTACTGTTTGAAGTATAATCCTCTCTCCTCTCTGACTAAGGCACTGCGGCTCACTCTGTCTGGTCTCAGACAACAACCTCATGTTGGAGTAGCAGCC